CCCAATTATAGAAAATCCTCAAAGTGCAGAGATTAACAGGAGTAATGGGAACAATCTATGGGAAAGAAAGACTAACTTAGAGTTGTATAAGACTCAGTGGAACAATGATTACGTAGGACATCTTTTTTAATTTGCTTACTTTTGAGTATCATAATGGCAATGGTATAAAATTTTTATAATCTTTTATATATTGTTATACATATAAACACTCTAAGTGCACAGAGTCATGCTACCAGTTGTATTGGTGGATTTTTTAAAAAAAGTATTAATTATAAAATGATAAATATATAATAATATATGTGGTGATTATATACTTCTAAATAATATCATTAAGCACAGTTCACTATAATCATATGTATACTGTTGTTTAAATGTCATTGCTTTTGGAGACTGCATCTCTATATTTTAGATAGAGTTTGGCTTTCTTGGACAAAGATTTACTCAGCCTGAAGAGAGCTGGGAGAATAGTTAAACTTCTTGGCTTTGCCAAATGCTTTCATATGTTTCTGCTCTCATGGAAAATGAGTTTTGATTTCTTTTCAGCCTACATGCATGGCAAAGCTAAAATGAAAAATAAAGCTAGCAACTTTCAACCAGTTCTAGTTAAGTTTGGTATTCACATATTGCTTTGATCTGCTCTAGAGCTTTAAAATACTTTCTAGAGTAGGGAAAGCTAGTTTCAGCACTAAGTATCACTGAATAGTAATGATGAAGAAATGGGAACTGGTTAACTTTAGGATGAAATCTAATTTTATTTCTGTTTGTGTATTAGAAACCAGACCAGGTTCACCTGTTATTTGTTTACTTGTTTGTTTTATTTTAGAACTAACATCACTCTCATCACAGGCAAAATATACTCCCCATTATGAATACAGCCTACTCTCCTTAATAGTTCTCTACAGCTATGTAGCTCAAACTTAGAATTTTTGGCCCAGTATGAAGTCCCCAATCTCCCCACTCCACCCCAGCCCACCTCCATGTAGCCCCTTTTAGAACTGTCTTATCTATATCCAAGTTTGCCAGAGCGGGACAGTGAAGAAGTTCCTTACTGTTCTACTGGCTTGTGCTAATCATAATATTTTAAAGCCCATTTTCCTACTTCTTCAGATTCTTTAATTTGGTAACCAAACTATTGTTATTCATACTTGTATTTTGACAAGTGCCTCATCACTTTCCTTTAAAGAAAGGTGCTTAGATGGTAATAGCTTCAAAAATTAGCATAATTTCTGTATCAGAAATATGTGAACTCACAGAATAAAATAATCTAGTTTTTTAAGGTTGCTTAAATTAAAAACACGAGTTTCTACAGTTGGAAAAAACATATATGGTTAAAATGTTTGAAGCCCATCAATCTCTCTAACCACATAAGCTAACGAGTTCCTTCTGTTTTCTTTGAATGAAATCACCATGAGTGGTTAGATGTTGATTTAACATAAAACAAATGGAAATGGGTGTTTCCTTTGTCCTTTGCAGAATTTATTTTTAAAAACAATTAGCAAGTATTCTGAATAAGTCAATGATTTTGCCATTACTTAAACAATAATACAGAATGAGTAGTTCATTTGATTGGATTTTAGGGAATGCATAATATACTCCAACTCCCCTTAACTTGCTAACATCTGCAGACATTATTAAGCTTCTCATTTCATTTTTTTTCTGCCATAACACCTGTATTGTTATAAATTATGTTTTGAATTGTCATGAAGTGTCAGGCAAATTATGTTTTCTGGATGTGCGTGTCATTTAAGGGTTCCTTTGTAATGGCAGGTTTGTGACTAACAGCTTAAACCTGAATATATCAATGCAATTAAAAGCTCTTTTTCAATTCTTCTTTGTGGACACAAAGAAGGTTGAAGCATTATTATGGGTAAAGTGCAAGGAAAGAATTAAAAATTCTTTAATATTTAAAACATCCTAGAGAAGGAATACATTTAGCTGTAATTTTAAAAAACATAGCAAGCTTATTATATTCTTCACAAAAATGTGTTGAACCCTTTGAACTCTATAAAATACACCTCCTATTGAATTAAAATTAAAAACTTGTATGACACATTTTCCACTCTTTATAGTTTTAACCCACTTCTGACAATTTCTTCCCCCTCCATGCATCCTCCTTTTTTTGTGTGATGTAGTAGTCTCTTCAGGAACATAGTAGAGAGTGACTCATCTAGGTCCCGAACATCAAAGAATGTCAGACCTATGAAATGTAGACAGTGGGTTCTTCCAGAAATTCTTTCTGAGTTAAATAAATAAGTAAATGAGCCAACATATGGCCTGCTTAATTCAGTCAAAAATTTCTATTGATTACTAACTAAGCTCACTAAATAAAAACTTCAGCCCAGGTTTTGCCTCCCAAAAGAAAATAGGATTAGACTGATCTATGCACTCATTGGGGCTTCTTGTGAATCATGCCGAGATGAGTCAAAAACCTTCAAAGGTGAACAAAGGAAAGGGCTAAAATTTTTCAGTAAATGTAGATTATTATTAGTTTGACATATTTTGGTTTATAATCTTGAATAAAACAATTTTAAATTCTAGAAGAGACCATGATATAAATGACCTCCGAGGTCTGAGAATTTTATAATTTTGCCTCTTCAACTAAAGTAGCCTGATTTAATTTTCCTAGGTAGATCTGTTGTACGTATAATTTTGACACGTTTAGAAACCTGAGGTACATAGTAAGGTTTCACACCAGCTCTGCATACGTGTTTTTTTCCAGACTAGGCTTGTGTCCTGCATCTATAATATTTGAATTATGTTATCTAAGAAATTCCAAATGGGAGTGTTTATGTAGTTTAAAGTACAAATGCTCTGAGTGGCTACTCTTATCTTTTGGAATGGTGAGAATATTAAAACATCAATACATTAAGTAGAAAGAAGTCTGATGATCAAGGATTCTTGTTTTGAGAAGTATAATGAATCAACCAAAAGAGTACATTTCGGTTATTTGCACATGTGTACTTTTAACTTATGATTCTTTACAAGTTGAGAACAAACCTGACCAATAGCTGGATTTACCTTAGTACTACAGATACCTCGCTCTGTGACAAAATACTGACAGGTATTTAGAGGCTTCAAGTCTTTTGAACAATATGCTGTTGACATTTTAATAACATTGTTGTTTGAAATGATTTCTTAAGTATGATGACTGCAACATACCCGCAGCAACAAAAAGTACATAGTTTCTGAAAGCAAAGACGCTCAAGTTTCATCCTATTTTCTAGAGGTTTTAAATCTTGATGAATCGGTTTCTCTTGAAAACCAATGGAAACAGGCTTCTTTAATTGAGGGCTGCATTCATTAGTTCTGTCAGTGATTGAGAAATACGTCCTAAAACTTAGTGACTTTCAGCTTAGAGATTTTGTAATTAAAAAAGCCCCCAAACCAAAAAACACCCAGTTTTGATTTCCCTGGTATGCAGAGGACACTTAAACTGGCTTTAAAATATTTTTCAAGGGTGATTTGTCCCGGCGTGATCTGCTCTCTTCAGCTCAGATCCATCGTTGGCGCTGCCTGGTTGTTCGCTGACACTACCAACAGAGAGGTGGCAAGGAAGTGTGGTCAGAGGACAAGAGCAAAGGCAGTCTCAATGTAAGGAAATGAGGGAAACAGACCTAACAGCACGATGAATGCACTTTCAAGTAAAGAGCCTTGTAGTCTGCTTTCCTTCCTTTGCTTACCCTGGTGGATTTAATCAAAAACAAACAAAACGCTCTTGTGAAATATAGTTAATAAAGTCAAAGTTTGGCGAGGTCTCTGTAACTACAAAGAAAAAGTCACCGCAATTTTTAAAAATGTAACTTTCATTAACGAGCGCGCCGGAAATCTCAGGTATCAAAGACGCATTAACCCTGGAGCGTCCCCAGTGCGCGGCAGCCCGACGGAGGCAACCGCGGCAAACAGACCTCCTTTTCTCCTCGGAGCGGTCACACAAAAGGAGGGCTGCGGAAACTAAAAGTTTCGAAGCCTCCGGCTCGCTGCGTGGAGAAAAGAGAAAACCTGGAGACGGGGTGGGTAAAAGACGCATCCTGGGCGCCTCTCCGAGGTGCAGGCAAGGAGAAAGCTCCTGGGCCTGGAAGGAAGAGGGGAGGGGAGGGGGGCCCCCGAGCCGCTGGCCAGCCCCCTGCGCCCCGCCTCGGAGGCCCGAGCGCCGCACTCCGCCGCGCTCTCCCAAATACCCTTCACCCCGTTCCAGAAATAAAATAAATGTTTTTAAAGCGCGTGTGTGTGGACAGGATGGAGAGCGCGCGCCGGAGGAGCGCGCGGAGGACCTAGCGCGCAGTGAGTGGAGTTTGGGGGTAGGGGTCGGGGTGGAAGGGGTGTGTTGATGGTGGGAGGGGGAAGGCTGGATGCCGAGCCCCGGGACTGAGCGGGGGGTGGCGAGCCGACGGGGAGGCAGAGGAGGGGCGCCAGCCGCCGCAGGCCGCCTCCGGGGCGCGTTCCGAGGCCGAGTGCGCGCGTCCCTCGCCGCCGCTGCCCGGACAGCCCTGCGGCCGCCCCGCCGGCGGAGCCGGGGCCGGCCTGTCCTCGGGCGGCTGCTCGGCCACCGCCGCCGCCACTCGAACTGCTCGAGCCCGTAAGTGTCCCCTTTCGCTCCCCTCCCTCCTGCTCGGGCGCACCGCCGCCGCAGCTGCTCCAATGGAGTGGAAAATGGCCATTGGGCGGCAATGAGTTATAGATTATCTGCTCCACGTTTTGTTCTTAGCTGCCTGTAATCTTCTTTTGAGTTTGCCTGAGCCCCTTGCTGGAAAAATCAGGAGGGAGAGATTTGTCCTTTGCCGCTGTACACGCTAATATGTTTATATGATCAGTCAACTCCGGAGGCGGGGGTGGGTAGGTGGGGATTTGGGGAGGAGGAGGCTGGAGGTGACTCCAGTTCAGACCTCGCCGAGAGTCTGTGTCAGGACTTCGCACTCCCCCATCTCTCTCCCTCTCTCCCTCACTCTCTCCCCGCTCACACACACTCTCGCAGAGGTGCCGGAGCGAAATCGGGAGCTTACCGGAGAATTCCTTGGGATTGTTGGGGGGCATCTCCCCTCCGTAGCTGTGCGTGGCGTGGCTCTTCTGTGCACCTCCCTGCTTTCCCGAGCCAGAGTCCTCGCCTTCAGCCTCTCGTGGGGCAGCGGCCACCGCTCAGCCTCGGCCCGGAGCCCCGGAATGTGAGGAGGGGCCGCCGCTGTCTCCCGCCCCAGGCCGCAGGGTCGGCGCCAGGGATGCCAGTCCGGCCCGCGCAGACCGCGGGCTGAAGGGCTTCGCCTGACAAACTGCGTTGGCCTCGCGCCGCCGGCGCCTGCCCGCCCCTCCCGCTGCTGCCGCTCCGAGGGGACTCCCAAGTCTGCGCACCTCTGTCGGGCTTTTACCTCCGCCACTCCTTTCGCTCTGGTTTCCGAAATTTTTGATTTTTCTAAGGGAGCGTGCGGTCTGGGGTGTGCGCGCGTGTGTAAAAGACCCCTCTCGCGGAGCGGCGTGTGGGAAACTGCGGGAAAATGTTGACCTAACCCCAGGAGCCGCCCGGCGCTGGCTGCTTGGCTGGAGGAGGAGGCGGCGGCGGCGGCGGCGGCGGCGGCCGACCAGCGGCGCCGTGTCCGGCCGGCGAGCCGCGGCGCTGCCTCCGGCGCGGACTCGGCGGCCGGCGACCCGCGCGCGCAGCCGGCCTCGGCCCTCAGCGGCCGGGGTCGCCGCTGCCCTCCGCTCCTCTCCCCGCGCGGCCCCCGCGCCAGACGGCCCGCCCCCGGGGCGCGCTCGCAGACCGAGGTAAGAGCCGCAGGAGCGAACAATGTGCCTCTGTGCCGGGCTTCGGAGACCTGTTTGCTTTGCGCCTCCTGCCCGGGGGTGGAGGCTGGAGGGGGAGGGAGCCGCGGGTGAGTTGGGGCTCGGCTGTTTGTTTCTGTTCGGCCCGGCCGAGTGGGAGACCCGCGCTGGCTCTTGCTGCTCCCCCTCCGCCCACCTCCTCTCCTCGGAAATCGATACGCAGAACTCCAGTCCCGTCCAGCCAGCTTCTCCTTTTCTCAGGGAGCTGTCGTAACGCTCTCTAGGCATCAGCCTGTTTGCAGGGGGCGTGGGGGAGTACGATCGGGTTATGCGTTTTTTGATTTTCTGAAAGCTTGGGTTGGAAGGGGCCGCTAGCCCTTTTACAGCCCGTCTGGGGAGGGGGATGTGAGGCGCGCCCTCCGTGGGGCCGCTCTGCTCGGGGTGCGGGGCGCGGGGCCCAGTCCGCCACCGCCCCTCCCGCCTGCAGACCTGTCCCGGGCTGTAAGTGGCGCAGGGAGGCCGGGCGCCCGGGGCGAGTTCAGGGGGAAGTAGAGGTGGGGGGTGAGTTGTTGCGGGTTGTTGTTTTTTCTTGTTGGTGGTTAGGTGGTGTGGAGAGGCGAGGATAACAGCAAAGCGCAGCCAGATGTGGCCAGGCCGGCGCGGGGGCTGGCAACGATTAGGGGCGGCCCCGCGGGGTGGGCGGGCGGACGGGTGGCGGGGCCCGGCACCCGGCGGGCCCTGGGGAGGGCAGAGAGCCTCCCGGACCCGCAGTGAGAGGGCGGCAGCGGGCCGCGCTGGGCCTGTGGGAGAAGTTCCCGACCGTGGGCTCCTGGGGTGGCTGTGGGGCTGGGAACCTCGGGAAGCCTGGTTTGTAGGATGGGGGTGCCGGGGGGGGATCTGCGGGGAGGAGAAGGCGTGGGAGGGGCGCGAGGAAAGGGGAGACCCCCCGGGCTAACCGAGCCTAGGCTCCTTGATTGGCTGGGATGACCCGACCCCTCCGGTAGAGAGGCGAGGGCGGGCGAAGCGACAAAAGCGTCCTAGCATTGGGGAGGCACGCTTGCAGGACTCCTTCACTTGGCATCAGTAAAGTTTGTTCCTTTCGCCAAACTGCGGGGCTTGGGGTAGGGAAAATCGCTGGCAGCTTTACTGTGTGCCCAAAGTGTCGCTGATCGGAGGCTAAAGGCTAAGGAACGTATGTCTTTCATATATATATATATATATATTTTATTCTCTCTTCATCCCGTCCTTTAAAAACATAGTTGGAGGGAAGAGTCCTGCGGTGCGGCTTCTTTCCTGGTTTTCTACGGACTCCTCCCCCCTCATCCTTTCCCCCTTCCCGGGCCCTCTCCATCCGATCTTCCTGGTGCAAACTGTGTTGTCTTGCATTCAGACCGAGGAAATGTTTTCCTCCTGTTTCTTGAAAGGTGTCAGGCTGCTGAGCAGCTCCCTCAAGCAGCCTGGAGCGTCTGAGCCGCACCACCGACCAGATGGTTCCCGTTACAAAGGCCGGGTTCTAAGGCACTGTCCTCCCCGCCCCCGCCCCAATTCTTAAATTTTCTCCTGCCGCCTTTACGGTGCGTGTACTTCTCTCTTCCCCTTTCCAGAGGCATAGATTTAACGGACGCTGTTGGTTCATTCATTTCCCTGTCAGTGTTTGTATCTGGAACGGGCCGCACCGAGTTTGCTCTTTGCTCAACTCGAGTTGCACAATGGAGAAAAGTCACATCCGTTTGGTAAATAATTTCCTGTTGGGATGTCTCTTACTAAATCAAGTTTGATCTTGGGCAGACCTTAAAAGTTGGGTACTAGGAGGCAATAGGCGTCCACAGCAGAGAAAAAGAATAGTTTCTGTAGTGTCTTTAACAACATTCCAAATTGTTATGGGACTTTTGACCCAAGTAAAAGGTAACTTGGTAACTTTAAATTTAGTATGTTTACGATATTTGGAAAACCTTATATAAGAAAATCTACTTCTGTTCAGGTGTGTTGTGGAACTTTTTGTTGTCCCTCTCTCCACCCTCCAGGAAATTTATGCATGATAGAGAGAATACTGCAGAACAAATGTTCTGTTGTTTAGTTCCTTCAGACATTCCGATTCTCTCCTTTTGTTGCTTGCCTCTAAAAGAGGTGCCATTTCACATCATTCTGCACAAATTGTTTGAATTAATGCAAGTGTGAATTCTTACCGTTTGAAGGGGACTATTAGCATATCAAAGGTTTCTTAGCTTCAGCTCAATTGAGAAAACTTCAGCCTGTCTTCCATTTGCTTCCAAGCAGAGGCCCAAAGGGCAATGAGAATTGTAAAGGGTAAAAATAGGGAGGTGGATTCAGGCTGTGTTTCTGAACTTTCACTGTTTTGTAATTATGTGAGCGAAAAACATTGTCTATTGCTGTGGAGCCCTTGCAAATGGCAAGACAATTATTTTCTATTGATAAATGGTTTGTTCCTAGAAAAAAGGTGACCTTTTATTTAATGATAGTCACTGTTGCCTGTCTTTTGGGGTCCCTTCAGTGGAAGAGAGTGAGAAAGCTTTTCCTTCTAACTTAATACTTTTCTAGGGCCTACACTTTGTTATATTAGTAAAATGGGGAAGAAAGCCTTTTAATTAGTCTATAAAACAATAGAAATCTTGTGATAAAGGGACACTCATTTTTACGCCTAGGAAACTTATTTTTAATATCCTTGCTAAATTAAGGGGAAAATCAATGGAGCGTTTGAATATTAAAAACTCAGTATGAACTTTGTTAATGCAACTTCTGCAAGTGTAAATTTGAGAAAGGGTTCTAGGTGATACTCAGAATATTTGTGAATTCTAGTTAGTAGTAATTCTTTTTGAATATTGATTTTGTCTCAGAAGTTTTGTATTTTATCAAACACTGTACACTGGAGAATTCAGCTTACAGTTGGTTTATTTTTCCTAATATTTATAGCATATTTGTTAATGCTTTTTTTACATTTGCAGAGAGATAAGTTCTTTGAATTTCTTTTAACAACTCAATACCCATGAGTAAAGAAACAAGAACAAGTACTTGGGTCATTTGGGTCATTTTATGGCAAGCAGATGGGTCAAGGGAGAACTTTTTTCATCAACTTCTGCGGAAGTGTTGGTTTTACTTATTTAGCTCAAGATTTCCTAAAGCCTAGTCTTAAGATGAAAATGAACCTCAGAGAAGGTTTTGGAGCCCATATTTTTTATACTTTTACCTTTGATGGTTAGTTGATTTTGAACATAAGTTTATATTCTTTCATTAGAAGTGGACTTTTTTTTTTTTAACTAATGTTCGGACCTCCTTGTTTTTCATTCTAATACTGAAAATTAACTCTGATGAACAATTTGGGAGGGAAAATATCATTACATTAATTGCCTAACATTTTTGGTTTTTAGTTTAGTAAGATACTTTATTCAGACTAAGAGATTTTTTTTAGCGCCATTCAAATTGTATATCATGCCCCTGAAACCATTTTATGATAGTTTATTTATCTGGTCCCTTCAGTTGTCTAAGAAGTACTTTTGAGGTAAAAATGCACACGTTGATGTAATTGCTATTATTGCACTTAAGTTGCTGTTAACTAGTCTGCTTTGAATGCAGAGTGCTATAAAGAAAACATTATCCTTTAGAGCTATTAGTGATAATCTAAAAATTGTCTTGAAAACATTGTTCTTCATTTTATATGATGGTGCTCCTGAATTCAGCAAATCTCTGAAGGTGTAAAATGCAGTGAAAAGATTTTTTCAACATTTCAATGACAAAATTGGACTACTTAGAGAAAAATTAATGTGTTGTAGAAGCACTTCAGCTGCCATTTTCAATCACTGTGGGTTACTATGTGTTGGCAACAGAAAATGAATTTAGAAATGCAGATAGCTCTGGGAGCAGGTAGTTGGAGAAATCAGAATATTAAGTCATGTGGGGTAGAACAAACCAATTACTTCTGGTTTTGACTTGAGAATTTCCAATAAATAAAAATTTTTCAGGCTTTTGACTCTGCTTTATTAATAGACTAACATCAAAGCAGACAACAAAACTTCCAAATGTTATAAAAACTAATATTAAATATACATATCTCACATAGAGTAGTACTACAAGTCTTAATTTTAAGACAAGCATTGGGGTTTTTATTGCTGCGATTTTCACAATCAGCAGAAACGTTAACACCAAGCTTCTGGGTGTTTCCTTTCTTAAAATATGCAAGAGGAAAGCTTTAAAACCAAGGTTTACTTAAGGTTAGATCTTTATTTGATCATTATTGAAGCTTTCTGTGTTTTATTAAAAAATCTAACATAATATTTTAATGTCTTAAGTAATACAGGAATATGTGAGCTAAGATTGAGAAGTTGGGAAGGTCAAGAGGTAACTGGAAGTCTGTACACCATAGTAATAAAATGTTTATTGCTGTATTTTCTATCAAAATATTTATTTGACCTAACTTGTGAATAAATAACTCAAATCACGCTTTATTGACAGATGTAGTATGAGATGAAGAGAGAATTACAATTTATGTATGGGCTACACACACTATACATACCTGAGAGAAATGTGTTCTCATTTTAATAAGAATCCATACCACTTGCCCAATTGCTGCTATTTAAGAGAGCAGATTAACTGTATTTAGATTAGGAATGAACATTCTTGGAAATTTGAAGAATTCAGTAATTGAAGAATTCACGTTTGCTATTTTTACGAAAAGTCTCCTCAAAGACTGTACACTTTGCCTCTTCATGTCCACCGTATCTGATTTTGAGTCTTGGAGAGGTACACATTTGACATCTGTCTGCTTTTCTGTGGAAAAGGTTCATGTAAAATTAAAGTGGAATTATTTTCAAACTAATAAATTCTAGAAATAAAGTGCATGATTATGAAGAAAGGTTCATCAAATTATTTGCAAAAATACTTAGCTAAAAAATTTTGCAAATTGATGGTTTAGATCAAGTGTTAAAAATAGCAACTTTAGCTCCTAGACCTGAAAAGGCCTTGAAATCCTGTTTATGTTTTGGTCATATCAGTTCTTAAGGTAATTTGTTTAAATATTAGTTCATATTACCTAAAAAGATAACTGTTTTGTAACTATTTTCAAGAAAGATTAAAACATTTCTATTTTAAAGATAGATTAAAATCATAGCTTAGTTAACTTCTCTCTTACATAACACTAATTAGTCTATAGCCCCACCTAAATATTCATCTCTTCAAATAATTCTTGATTGAAGGTTGAAAGGTTGAAAAGTATTTAATCACCCCGATTACTGTAATTAGACTTGATGTTATCAGAAAAATTGAGACTGTTCTCTGAAATCTTTTTGCAACTCAAGATTGGTCAAGCAGTGATTTTTTTTTTAATGCTTTAAGAAAAACTCTTAAGAAATGGGTTGTTTAACATAAAGATAGTTAATGATTGGAATTAGAGAATTAGAATCCTAAAATGATGACATTTTTCTTGACCTAAGTGTGAATAACTTTGAAAGAAGAAACTATATAACTGGGGGTCTGTAATTCCTAAATTTTATTCAGGACGTCAGTGTGGTATTTTGACTTTATAGGTTTTATAATGTGTATATTATAAACAGTGAAAATCTCTTTATGCTCTTTTGACATAAGTAGAGTTTTTTTAAGTGGATCACTGTGTCATATAAGGTCTTAACCAAAAATACTTAAAAATCTTTTTACATCATTTATCTGATAGATTAGGCAATGATTTGCAGATATTTTCTAATATATTCTTATGCAATGATTTTTAAAGTTATTTCTTAAGAAGAAAATAACTTCCCATATATTGCCAATAAAAATTATCTTTAAAAAAGGTAGATCGAGTGAAGGAACCTAGCGCTTAACACCTGCAAGTAGAGTGCAGCTTACAGCAAAATACTATTGATTGCTTTGAAACACAGAGCAAGTTTAAATACAATTTGTTTAATTACAACAAAAATGCAGTTTTATGAAGTAATAGAGTTTGTCTTCATAGAGAATTTTATGGCATTGTGTGGTGGTAAGTAATATCCCATCACAGTTGTATAAATTTGTTCAATTACCAGAACGGCTAAAAGAAAAAAAAAATCAATTTACATTGAAAAGCAACAGAAATTAGATTACCTTGGTTAGTAGGAACTTGCCAGCAATGTCTAAATTGCTTAATAATATCAAAAGCTACCATGTTTCACAGTGTAAGGATATTGGTGCCTGTTTTAATATGCATATATCTTCTTTACTTGGTGACTTTTGTTATGTGAACTTTTTTTCTTTTTGTTTTCCGTTTTTGTTTTTATGGAAGCTGTTACATGAAGTCCAAGAAACTATTTCCACTTGCATATTCTTATTTGTTTTAGAAATTTGCTTTTTGTTGTTGCTTTTCTGGATTTCTAGAATTTGTGATCAGCTGATATTTCAGATGAGTGTCATGAAATATCAGATGTAATTTTAGGCATCAAAAGAAATCTGGCCCATCAGTATGGATAGCTAGGTTATTATCAGCAACAGAAACACATTTTAGAAATTTTTATTACTGACTCTAGAATTATTAAGAATTTTAAGTCTTAAATTCTTGTAGCAATTAGGTGGCATGGGATTCATCATAGCGGATAGCTGGGCACCTGTTTTATTACCACCTTGATTCATTCTGGCACCCAGATTTACCGAAGTGCAAGAACAGGACACAACTGCTGCTCACAGCCACCCAGCTGTTTTTAGGTCATGAAGTCAACTTCCTGGAATTTCTGGGGAAACCAGTTGAAAAGGGAGGACAAATGTCACTTTAAATAGAGATGTTTAAATCAGATTTCTGCCTGAGGGTAAAATTTAGGTCTGTTTTAGCCCGGATGTAATGTCTCCCTCTACAGAGTACAGCATTAATCACTACCTGACAAGAAAACCTATGCTGAGCAAAATGGGCCCCTGTTGGTCTTGTCATTGATTTTTCCAATCTGTGAGGAGTACGTTATAAACATTAAAATTCACACACAGGGATTACACCTTAATCTCTGAATTTCAGTATTGAAATTAGTTGCCTTAAAAGAAGCCTACTTAAAGCTAAGAAAGAAAAAACTTTGGGAGACTTTTTGTAAGGATAGATTGAATATTTTTATAAAAATAGAAATATTAAAAAGCAGGCAGGTTAAGCAGAAGTTAACATCCTGAAATAATGACTTAATTCTGTTTAAGATGCATTAAGTAACTTCAAAAATGTGTGGGGTTTTTTTGTTGTTGCTGTTGTTTTTAATAAATCTGATAGTAGAAAAAAGAAGATAAAAATGAACTATTAGTTCTTGGCCATGAGAGATGGAAGAAGTTGAAAAGATGGTTAACTTCAGACTTAGATCGGTTCAAAGGCTTATTGTTTTATTAGAACAAAACTGGATAAATCTGTTTCTAGATGAATAATAAAATCTTTAGCCATTGTAGTGAAAAATGTGTGGTGAAAAATGCACCATGAAGTTCCTCATAAAATAAAAAGGGTTAGTTTTGCTCTTTCAATTATTAGGTAATACTCTTTAACTCCTTTCTTAATCAAATAAATATATAACACACGTACATATATAAGCATGGAATTTATATCCTGTTCCTTTGTATGTATCAATATTTATGACTGTTACTGGCTAAAAATTAATGCAAATATAAGTTTAAAATGTAAAATATGTATGATTAAAATAACTTTTTAAACCGATTTTGAAAATGATATGACTTAGTTAATCTCTATTTTGTTCTCAAAGGTATTTACTATTTTTGGATCACGAAATGCTTGTACTACCCATGCTTTGCATCATTTTGTAGGTATTTTTACATCAGCCCATGCCTCAAACAGATGATTGCCCTGGATTTAGATGACAAAATAATCTAACCCCAGTTATTGTCAAAAATGGTTCTTGGCTGCTGGGGGTGGGCTAGATGACCTTGCTTTTGACTAATGGTTTCTATTGTAGAGGATAGTAAATAGCATCTATAAAAGAAGCAAAAGAGAGTTCTTTTTTGTTTATAAAGTAAATTCTAATTTTAATCGTTTATTCTTAAAATAGAATACTGTGACAGCAATTCTCCATATAATGAGGGAATCATTACAAGATTTTAGAAAAGGTCTTTAGTTGATATATTTCTGTTTTATGTAGATTATATTAACTTAATCAGTTCTCAACTACAATTTACATAGAAAATCATGTCCTAAATGATTTTCCTGTCTTTTTTTACTTTGAAACAAAGTATTTCTATTAGGAATTATTATTTCTTATTCCATTGGTACTTCCCATACAGAAATTTTATTCCTTTGCCTTAAAAGCCTATCATTTTTTTCACTGGTTATTACCCAGTTATTTATTAGAATTTACAGAAAACATGTTTTTATACAATATTTTCTCCACTCATCTTTATGTTCTTAATCTCGAGATGCTTATGGTATGTTTTAATTCTTAAGATTCCTGGTCTTCCTGGGGTTAATGTCCAAGAGAGTTTGGGAAACATTAATTTTGGTGATGTTGTAAGCCTATGCATTTGTATCCCAGTGATTGTGCATATTTTTGTAGAATTTGACAAAGCCTTAATGTATTAAATGAAGAATTGATGCATTTTATGTATCTTGTCTTACATTTAAGAAAAGATGGATGTAATTCTGAAATGTTTCATTTTGCTTCTTATCCATCAACAAATAAAAATTATACTGAAATTTTGATGTCCTAGACATTTCATTTTTACTAAGGACATTTAACTCTTTCTGTCCTTTTGAGTAATAGAGATGTCTCCCCCCCATCTTTGTTTTTTCTGCTGTAAATGCTGTGATACCCATAGCCTTCATGGAGGTCACTTTTCATATTATCATTGGTTTTAAACTAGGCCTACAGCCTGAATATTTAAAGATACAAGTGAAACAAAATTTTATTTTTCTCTAAAGTGAAAAACTCACTACAATGCTGCTTATTACAAGTTGCCTTTCCCCTTAACCTTGTTTTCTTTGTTTAAGTAGAAAAGAAATTTAACTGGTATCTCTGTATTGGTATTTTCGTATGTTTAGCATGAAAGTGAGCATATCTTTTATAATTTACATGTTTTTAATTAAGGATCTTAGTTTAAAAAAACACCTTATAATAAAAGCATATCAGTTCATTTATGGGTAAGTCAAATTGAATGCCTCAAATTTCTAGTCACTGCTTATATGCTATAAGGTGGTGCATACATGTTTGAAGGGAAAAATCAGGGGACATCAAATTGTCCAGTAATAATTTTTGGTAACACATTGCCCCCTAAGACTTTGAAAATATTCTTTTATTTATTTATTTATTTTAAAGATTTTATTTATTTACTTGACAGAGAAAGACATAGCGAGAGCAGGAACACAAGCAGGGGGAGTGGGAGAGGGAGAAGCAGGCTTCCCGCAGAGCAGGGAGCCCGATGTGGGACTCGATCCCAGGACCCTGGGATCATGACCTGAGCCGAAGGCAGATGCTTAATGACTGAGCCACCCAGGCGCCCAAGACTTTGAAAATATTCTTAGCTTTGCCTTTTTCCCCCCTGCTCCCTTGTCAGAGATGTACCTTATATCTGTATTCACAGAGAAAGGAATATGGTGAAGAGGAGAGTGTGCAAACACAAATCTAAAACAGATTTGAAAAAAATATGATGGAGGGGTAAAGGGCATTTTGCAAATCAAACGAGTTTTCTTTTTCTTTTCATATTGAATTAATGAAAATAAATTTATTGTTCAGAAAAATACTTCCAGATTTAAGTTTCAGAATTTTTCTAAATTCTAAGAAGAAAATGGTAGTAGTTACTACATTTATTTAAAATTTATCTTTATCTTTCACTGTAAGTCAATCCTAAAATATCACCTTTGATTGTTTACTTTGGGATCAGAAGATGCATCAGATAAACAGGTTGAACAGCTTTGATTTGGGTGGTCTATCATTTCAGGCTGGTGCTGTGTAAGCAAGGTAATGTTTTCTTTTCCTTGAAATACACTTTGTAAGAGTGGCTCTTGGGTGACTTTGAAAAGTTTGTATATCCTGCCTGCTCAAGCTGCATTCTTAACCAAGCTGAAGGACAAGAATAATCATGTTGAACCACAAATTTTCAGAAGCAGTTATTTTAATCAGATAATTGGTAAGGAGGAGACTTTAGATAATAGTATTTTCATACAGTGGTGACCTGCATCTTTACCAGGCAACTGCCTACATGTTTCAGATATTTTTGCTAACCCTTGTTATTACCTGCAGAGGGAGCTTGTATATGAGATAAAATAATCAAAGCAGTATCAATTGGTATTGCTTTTTTGAAAATTATATATTTTAACATACTTTTTATTTTTGTTTGAGAAAAATTGTTCTAAGGAAAATAAAGCATTTGGGATTAGCCAAATTATAGTGAAATTTAATATACTAAATGTCCAAGTATTTATCATTTCCTGTATTCACAGATTACAAATGTGCTTTTTACCTTTCCTTAATTAGTAAAGATAACTTGAAAGGTAATGAAGATAATGAATCAGACTCATTTTGAGATGCTAACTAGTTTTATGATCAGCCAGAGCTCTGGATGACTGTAGAACTGTGTCTTGTTTAAATATTGAATAATTAAAAGAGAGATGGGATTTTTTAGAAAATTTTCCAGATTATGTAAAATATTGTAAAGCGATCAATGAACAGTAAGTAGTAAATTACATTTCTCTTCATTTAATTAATAGATCAAAGTAGATGAGTTGCATTTGCTCTTTTCTAAAATCAAAAATGATCACTTTGGATTAATGACTTTTACTTGCAATAACGGACCGATTAATGCAGTGACACTTAAAAACAGGGAAACCACCAGTAAAGATCTAATATTAAATGGTTTAGGAAGTTGCTGAGTAACTTGGAAAAAAATGAATGCAGGCAAGATAGATAGTACTTAATTAAAAAACGGAATTATATTTATGAACACTGTGTCAGCTAAATTTCTCAGAAATTATAAGCCAGATACTCAGAAATACTTGAGAGTTTTCCGATCAGGTGTTTTGGTAATCAGGGTTAAAATCCTTTAGAAGCATTTGGTTCTTTTCAGTGAGCAAAATTTTTCACATCATATGTATAATTGTGCCAGGAAATTTAAGGATAAGATATTATATTAAGTTATCCTAAAAATGAACCTTTTTATTTTTATTTTTACATTTTAGTATAAAAATGTTATTTCAGAATTTGC